GCAGGCGGCAGACCCAGAAGGGAGGGATGGTAGTCCCACATAATGGATGTAGTCGCTCCGACGTTCGCTTCGGCTTCGAAAGTGAGACCTCCTGAACCTCCAAGGTTAGAGAGAGTGGGTAAACTCATCGAGGAATTTGGTGAATGATTTGTATGCAGTTGTTCTTCTGGTAGTCTTTGGTGATGCAGACGGACTAGAATATTGACAGCCTGCGAAGAAACCTCCCTGATCAGTGAGTCAGCAAAGAGGATAACTAATTTCAGCTAGTTGTGCAGGACTCACCCGTTCAAGGCTCTGGAAATCCATGCGTACAAGGAAAAGGATGAGCATGAACGCTTCCTGACGAGCGTTTCCAATGAGGCGTTTCGGAGGTGGTTGAAGCAAAGTGTTACCATATATTCGATGGACCTCTGCGTCACCTGAAGGTAGGGATCGGTATTCCTCACTCATAGTGCTTGCCACGGGGAACATGTAATCGGTAAGTAGAGTGGGCACGAGGTTTCCCATCAGCCGAATGCAGCTTGCCACTGACGCTGTCAACTTGGGATCGATGGAGTTTGATGGTGAGGAGTGACAAGTGGTGGAATGAAGGGCATTTTGATGGCTCTTTGCAACTGAAGTATTTTCTGAGTCCGGGACAGGATTGTCCTAGATACAAAAATGTTTGGAAACCGTCAGTCATTTTGGCTGAGGGTCGCGTCATTTCAACTGCAGGAAAATCGAAAAAATACCTTTGCAAGTCAGGAAGAGGCAACCTTTATTTTGACAATCTCAAGAGACCAATCAGAAAGGCCCAAAATCCTTCCTAATTGCCAGAGGAGGTTAAAAGTGTTTGCATGCTGTGGTTTTAAGCCAAAACGGAAAATGAATAGCCCAAGAGATGTGCTTGTGGAGCAAACAATTTTCTAGTGGTGAAGAGAAGGAAGAATGGTCTTAAATTACCACGCTGCACCATAAAAAAAAACCTAAAAATCTTCTCGACTTTGAAGAAATTCCTCTTCCTTATTGACTTAACATCAGTCAAGATCACGGCTCCCTTCACTTTTGCTGTTTGACATCCACTTGATGAGTTAAGGGGTTGGTCTCCGATCACTGCTGTTTGTATAAAGGAAAATAACCCAATGTTATCCATAATTTTACCCCATTTGGTTATTTCTGGTACTTTTACAACTACACATGCAGTATGTGATTGAATGAACGATAAAGGTCAAACTGACGAGGCTTATTACATCACACGGCTAAAGGAAATACTTCTACATACTTCCAATGGGTGAACTGTAATAATCTGGTTGTTTGTTTACTTGGACACTTTCATGTTCTTCATGTGAAAGAGGATAAAATTCTACCTACGCATGCTACCTTATTTGCTTAATTAGTAGTTACAAACGCATGCGCACTTCATCAGTAGTGTCCTTTTCCAATACAATTAAATCGAAATATTGGGATATTCGAATTCCACCATCTGAGAAGTTTAGGAGCACTACAATGGTGACAGCAGAAAGCATGCCTTATACTAAAGGGCATCTGCCCCTATTTCCATTTCTGAATGCTAAACCTTAACGTGACGGGAGAAAGAGCACATGCTGTAGATAGGAGAATTTGCGAAGACTCCCAACAGGGGGATTGAAATAATGTGTACCTTCGTCACCTGTCCCATTCCGTATTCTGCAGGAATGCTATTAGCAACTGAAACGGGCAACACTAGCCGCCAACCGTCTGGAAAAGTTGGTTTTGGAGCTGTCTACGGTACCTGCATTAAGATGTCAATTAAGTGACAACACCATACCTTCTCCACTTCTCTACTAAGTGGATGGAAACCAGACAGATATGGTAAGGCAATACCGAAGCCAGAACGGAGTGGAGAGAAGGAGCAGACACGAAAACTTATCCCCTCGAAACTGTTTTAAGCTTTGTCCTTCATTAGATAAGATCTGCGTTAAGGCCAGTGTTCTTACTACCAACGATGAACATACGAGATGACCAGCACATTTTCTCCCTCCCCCAAACAGTTACTAAACAGGATAGGGCTCTGGATCCAGTAGAATCAGCGTTCTTGCTATCAAATATCCCCTCAGTTACACCTGACTTCGACGAATGACGCGGTTAGTTCATAGATGTTTTTCCTTACATCACCGACTACGTTGCGGTGGCCGGAGCGGGAGAATGATTAAGGAAGGCGCCGGGGATGACGCTCAAAAGGAGAGTGAGGTTTGTAAAACTTGGTTTATTCATTTAACTCCTCGTTTTGGTTTCAAGGACGCTTAAGGTTCCGCTCATGTGCTTTCGCTGGGCGGAATGGCCTTCAAGCCACGCCAGTAGCCCCGCAGTCTTTCCGTACATCAGCGATACATATCCTGCTCTAGTGTTGCAAATTATTTCTTCTTCAGGAAAGACTCTGAGCGATTCGACTTCATCAGATTGTAGATTAAATACACTTTATACTTTTCTTTTTCTAAGATCCTATGTGTCTCATATCCACTATAAGATAGCAATGTCCCCATGCTCTGAGGAGAACAGTAATACACTATTTCAGATGCTTGAAGAAAAAATTGCTAACTTCCATTTATTGTAAAATAATAAAAAGCATAAAGAAGAACGGCAGAAGTAAATAAGTTTGATCGCTCGATTATGAGAAATTATGGGTCTTTTCTTGTGCTACACTACTAACTGGTTTATTATTTCTGTCAGAAAGGAATTTTTGGGAAAACACTCTGAAAAGGACATCAGAATGACGTTCGAAACATTATATAGGAATGTCCACAAAAATGCAAAAATTCAGAAGGAATATGATGGTCCTGTAAGTGCTTCGATTAACATTATTTAAGAGAGAAGGTTTTTAAACGAGATAACATCGTAAGTTAACAACTCGAGTAAATCCTAACTTGAAATACCTTACCGACACATTGTGCTGACGTATTACTCACATTAGAGGTACTTGGTGAACCAACGCAACATTCTGATAACGAGAAACAAGAAAAGAAGATTGCGGAAAAACTAGAATTGGTCTCCGTGCATAAGCCAAATATTTTTCCAAATAAAATCCAAATTATGTAGATGACCACACCAAAAGAACAGAACTTTTTTGAGAGAGGGCATTATAAAAGCGTAGCAAGCATGACCCATCAGTCTACCTTGCCCTTCTTACTGCCGTCCAATAGGAAGGGAGGAGGTGAGAGGCCCTGACAGCCGCTGCCATAACGGGAACCTCCTCTGCCCTCACCTTCCCACGAAGCCGAGGTGGAGAGCTGGGGGAAGCGGCCGGAGGGGGCTACACAACCCGCACTTCCGGTATGCGATACGCTAGCAGCTTGAGCTATCGCCATGGCAACCATTTGTATGCAAGCCGTGCGCAGGAAGCAGAGGTGGCCGTTGATCAGGCTGCAATCCAAAATGGGAAGTAGGACGTCACCCCAAGAGGACGCCCGGGAATGAGCCTGAGCAAAGCTCCGGAACCACTGGATCTCGCTCTAAAGTAGAACAGAGGGGAATAATGTCACCCCACTACTCCACTTGAGGTGGCAAATTGATAACTGAGTTTCAAGGGTCCCATTGGCACCCCTACATTTTGAATAAATCTATGGTTACGAACATAGATGTGTTGTTTTCAAGGATAATGGTGATAATTGCATAAATGCCGCTAGATCCTCTTGACTAAGAGCCAATAATGAGCCTCTGGCTCCTATTGGAATTATTTTCCTTGATTAACCGGGTAATTAATGAGGCGTTAAGTGCATTAAGCACGACAGCGCCAGCTCTTGGGGCCATAAGCAACGAGAGACGGTTCATTTCTCACCACGTTACTTTTTTTC